GGTGGTGTTCTCCGACCAGCTCAACCTGGTGAGTTGAGATGCGGGTATTTGTGGGTGTTTTTAGGCGCTTGTGGGAGCGAAGTGGCCTCCCTGGTAGTGTTTCTGGAGAGGATGGCGCAGTGCTTTGAAGTGGTGGTGTTCTCAGACCAGCTCAATCTGGTGAGTTGAGATGCGGGTATTTGTGGGTGTTTTTAGGCGCTTGTGGGAGTGAAGTGGCCTCCCTGGTAGTGTTTCTGGAGAGGATGGCGCAGTGCTTTGAAGTGGTGGTGTTCTCAGACCAGCTCAATCTGGTGAGTTGAGATGCGGGTATTTGTGGGTGTTTTTAGGCGCTTGTGGGAGTGAAGTGGCCTCCCTGGTAGTGTTTCTGGAGAGGATGGCGCAGTGCTTTGAAGTGGTGGTGTTCTCAGACCAGCTCAATCTGGTGAGTTGAGATGCGGGTATTTGTGGGTGTTTTTAGGCGCTTGTGGGAGTGAAGTGGCCTCCCTGGTAGTGTTTCTGGAGAGGATGGCGCAGTGCTTTGAAGTGGTGGTGTTCTCAGACCAGCTCAATCTGGTGAGTTGAGATGCGGGTATTTGTGGGTGTTTTTAGGCGCTTGTGGAAGCGAAGTGGCCTCCCTGGTAGTGTTTCTGGAGAGGATGGCGCAGTGCTTTGAAGTGGTGGTGTTCTCAGACCAGCTCAATCTGGTGAGTTGAGATGCGGGTATTTGTGGGTGTTTTTAGGCGCTTGTGGGAGCGAAGTGGCCTCCCTGGTAGTTTTTCTGGAGAGGATGGCGCAGTGCTTTGAAGTGGTGGTGTTCTCAGACCAGCTCAATCTGGTGAGTTGAGATGCGGGTATTTGTGGGTGTTTTTAGGCGCTTGTGGGAGCGAAGTGGCCTCCCTGGTAGTGTTTCTGGAGAGGATGGCGCAGTGCTTTGAAGTGGTGGTGTTCTCAGACCAGCTCAATCTGGTGAGTTGAGATGCGGGTATTTGTGGGTGTTTTTAGGCGCTTGTGGGAGCGAAGTGGCCTCCCTGGTAGTGTTTCTGGAGAGGATGGCGCAGTGCTTTGAAGTGGTGGTGTTCTCCGACCAGCTCAACCTGGTGAGTTGAGATGCGGGTATTTGTGGGTGTTTTTAGGCGCTTGTGGGAGTGAAGTGGCCTCCCTGGTAGTGTTTCTGGAGAGGATGGCGCAGTGCTTTGAAGTGGTGGTGTTCTCAGACCAGCTCAATCTGATGAGTTGAGATGCGGGTATTTGTGGGTGTTTTTAGGCGCTTGTGGGAGCGAAGTGGCCTCCCTGGTAGTGTTTCTGGAGAGGATGGCGCAGTGCTTTGAAGTGGTGGTGTTCTCAGACCAGCTCAATCTGGTGAGTTGAGATGCGGGTATTTGTGGGTGTTTTTAGGCGCTTGTGGGAGCGAAGTGGCCTCCCTGGTAGTGTTTCTGGAGAGGATGGCGCAGTGCTTTGAAGTGGTGGTGTTCTCCGACCAGCTCAACCTGGTGAGTTGAGATGCGGGTATTTGTGGGTGTTTTTAGGCGCTTGTGGGAGTGAAGTGGCCTCCCTGGTAGTGTTTCTGGAGAGGATGGCGCAGTGCTTTGAAGTGGTGGTGTTCTCAGACCAGCTCAATCTGGTGAGTTGAGATGCGGGTATTTGTGGGTGTTTTTAGGCGCTTGTGGGAGCGAAGTGGCCTCCCTGGTAGTGTTTCTGGAGAGGATGGCGCAGTGCTTTGAAGTGGTGGTGTTCTCCGACCAGCTCAACCTGGTGAGTTGAGATGCGGGTATTTGTGGGTGTTTTTAGGCGCTTGTGGGAGCGAAGTGGCCTCCCTGGTAGTGTTTCTGGAGAGGATGGCGCAGTGCTTTGAAGTGGTGGTGTTCTCAGACCAGCTCAATCTGGTGAGTTGAGATGCGGGTATTTGTGGGTGTTTTTAGGCGCTTGTGGGAGCGAAGTGGCCTCCCTGGTAGTGTTTCTGGAGAGGATGGCGCAGTGCTTTGAAGTGGTGGTGTTCTCAGACCAGCTCAATCTGGTGAGTTGAGATGCGGGTATTTGTGGGTGTTTTTAGGCGCTTGTGGGAGCGAAGTGGCCTCCCTGGTAGTGTTTCTGGAGAGGATGGCGCAGTGCTTTGAAGTGGTGGTGTTCTCAGACCAGCTCAATCTGGTGAGTTGAGATGCGGGTATTTGTGGGTGTTTTTAGGCGCTTGTGGGAGCGAAGTGGCCTCCCTGGTAGTGTTTCTGGAGAGGATGGCGCAGTGCTTTGAAGTGGTGGTGTTCTCAGACCAGCTCAATCTGGTGAGTTGAGATGCGGGTATTTGTGGGTGTTTTTAGGCGCTTGTGGGAGTGAAGGCGCTTGCTGGTGGGATTACAAAAAATGAGGCGAGTCTGGTTGGTGCATACGTTTGGTTGGTCCAAGGCACCATCACATGTGTGTAAGCAATGCAGTTCTTACTCTTTTCCTCCCTTCATTGCCCACCTGTTTCAGTCTGTCGACCCCATATTGGACCGGCTGGACCAGAAGGGGTGCATTCGCTACCGCCTGTACCGGGATGGGACCCTATACACTGACGGGATAATCCTCCCTTTCTCCCTTCCTGCCCCTGTTCCCCCTCTTGTCTGTGCCCCCTCACAGTCTGACGATCCGAAGGGGTGCATTTGCTACCGCCTCTACAGGGATGGGACTCTATACACTGACGGGATGATCCTCCCTTTCTCCCTTCCTGCCCCTGTTCCCCCTCTTGTCTGTGCCCCCTCACAGTCTGACGATCCGAAGGGGTGCATTTGCTACCGCCTCTACAGGGATGGGACTCTATACACTGACGGGATAATCCTCCCTTTCTCCCTTCCTGCCCCTGTTCCCCCTCTTGTCTGTTCCCCCTCACAGTCTGTCGGCCCCATATTGGACCGGCTGGACCAGAAGGGGTGCATTCGCTACCGCCTGTACCGGGATGGGACCCTATACACTGACGGGATAATCCTCCCTTTCTCCCTTCCTGCCCCTGTTCCCCCTCTTGTCTGTTCCCCCTCACAGTCTGTCGGCCCCATATTGGACCGTCTGGACCAGAAGGGGTGCATTCGCTACCGGCTTTACAGGGATGGGACTCTATACACTGACGGGATGATCCTCCCTTTCTCCCTTCCTGCCCATGTTCCCCCTCTTGTCTGTGCCACATCACAGTCTGTCGACCCGATTCTAGACCGGCTGGATCAAAAGGGGTGCATTTCAAGCCTTCCTGTTTTTCCTCGTGCCTGTGCTTCATCTCGCCTCTGTGTGCCGCATCACAGTCTGTTGACCCGATTCTAGACCGGCTGGACCAGAAGGGGTGCATTCGCTACCGGCTCTACCAAAATAAGTCTCTCTACACTGACGGGATGCTCCTCCTTTTCTCCCTTCCTGCCCATGTTCCCACTCTTTCTGTGCCCCCTCCCAGTCTGTCAGCCCCATTCTCGACCGTCTGGACCAGAAGGGGTGCATTCGCTACCGCCTGTACCGGGATGGGACCCTCTACACTGACAGGACTGCTGCCTTCCCCTTTCCCTCTCCCTGCCGCCCCCTCACCTCTCATCGTCTCCCCGCATTCTGTCCTCTCCCTCCTATCGCAGTCTGTCGACCCCATATTGGACCGGCTGGACCAGAAGGGGTGCATTCGCTACCGGCTCTACCGGGATGGGACTCTCTACACTGACGAGATAGCTGCCTTCTCCTTTACGTCTCCATGTCTCCCACTCACCTCCCTCGTCTCCCCTCATCCTTTCCCCCATCTCACCATATCACAGTCAGTTGACCCGATTCTGGACCGGCTGGATCAGAAGGGGTGCATTCGCTACCGGCTCTACCGGGATGGGACTCTCTACACTGACGGGAACTATGTGCGGGTATGTACTGTTCTTACCCTCAATAAAATACGTGGGCATGCGTTCTCGCCCTCCAAAGTCAAACTAGTATTGGGTCACTCTGCACTGCACTGACGGGAACTACGTGCGGGTTTGTATGTACTGTTTCTACGCTGAAAGAAGGTGTTTCACACGCCCCACTGCCCTCCCCTTTCCCTCTTTTCCTCCCCTGCTCCTACCAGGACCTTTCAAAGCTCAACCGCGACCCAAACAAGGTCATCTACATCAGCTCTCTGCCAGAGTCGGTGCTGCAGGAGGAACCTTAAGGCACCTTCCACCATGCCCCCTCCCTTCCTTCCCTCTCATCTCACATTCCTCCCCTGCTCCTACCAGGACCTTTCAAAGCTCAACCGCGACCCCAACAAGGTCATCTACATCAGCTCTCTGCCAGAGTCCGTACTGCAGAAGGAGAACTTTATCCCCCTATTTGCCTGGAAGGTGTTTCACGTGCCTCAGCCCTCTCTCCTTTCCCTCTTCTCCTCCTCCCTCCATATCAGGACCTATCCAAGCTGAACCGCGACCCCAACAAGGTTATCTGCATCAGCTCTCTGCCATTCGTCCTCTTTCCCTGCTCCCATCAGGACCTATCCAAGCTCAACCGTGATCCAAACAAGGTCATCTACATCAGCTCTCTGCCCGAGTCAGTGCTTCAGAAGGAGAATCTCGTCCCTCTCTCTGCGTGGAAGGTCACGGGAGCAGACACTGCACTCCTAGACCTCCTCCCGTTCCTCGAATGTGAGTGATGGTGCTCTGAAAGGGGAATCTCGTCCCTCTCTCTGCGTGGAAGGACACGGGAGCAGACACTGCACTCCTAGACCTCCTCCCCTTCCTCGAGTGTGAGTCGGAGTGTTGAGTGTGGAGCACCCTAGAACGCCAGTTAGGCCACACAAAGAGAATGCACATCAGAAGGAGATTTTGGTCCCTCTCTCTGCGTGGAAGGACACGGGAGCAGACACTGCTCTTCTAAACCTCCTGCCATTCCCTGAAGTGGTGCTGTATGAGGGGCTGGACATGCGTTGACCTCGTTGACTTGCTTGACCCTGTTGACTTTCTTGACTTGCATTATCACCTTCTTGTTCCTCAATCCCCATGGTGTGTGGCACGGCACGGCAGCAGCTGGCGGACATTCGAATGGTGCTGCAGTCGTATGAGGGGCAGGACACCTGTTGACTAGGTTGACTTGCATTGACCGGGCTTGACCCTCCTCCTTGTTCCTCATCCATCCAGGTGTGGCGCGGCAGCGGCCGGCGGATATACGGGTGGTGCTGCAGTCGTATGAGGGGCAGGACATCCCCACTGCCTTTAAAGAGCGCTCCAAACTCATGCAAAAGTGAGTGTAGTTGGTCAATTATATAACTCTAGCGGCTATCTTGGCTACAGTGCGAGACTCGCAGTCCATGTACTCTTCTGCTAGGTTCATTAGTTGCCGGGATTTTGTCATTTTTGTGTGACGTTCCTTGTGTCTATCTACAGATTTCTCTGCCGCCCTTCTTGTGCCGCTTCCCTCCACTTCAGCTTGTCTCTTTTTTATATCGATTGTTTGTGGGATGCTTTCAGGCAACTTCAAGAGAGGAAGCAGCATGGGATTTTCCGGTTTGCAAGGGGTGGATCCTGAGGGTGTCTGAGAAGTGGGGGAGGAGGGCTCTACCGTATGTTGAAGAGTGGGGTCAAGTAAGTAGGCAAAGGATATGAAATAATGGCACACATTCGTGTTGCGCTCAGTCAAATATATTTGTTGCATTTCTGTGATAGAGATGGTAGCGCCTCTGTACCATTGCTTGTGAATTCACAAATGTTTATTTTGGGAGATATATAACCCTTTACGCTGATACTTTGAAGGTCTCGATCTTAGGCCACTCCGCCCTGTTGCGAGTCCTATGTTATCCCGAATCAACAACAGCTGACCAATACTGTATATTTCACCCGGTAGTGTCGGTAGCGCTACCCGGGTCCGAGCTCCTCCCTGCCCCCGAGCTGACCAATGAATGGTTGGACTCGCTCGTCCTTTTTTATTGGCTGAGACTTGCCAATTTTGGCCAATCCCTGCACATTTGCGGGCAATAGAAACGTTTAGGGCAGCTCATGAGGCAGCGCTCATTGAATGGTTATCTGTTTTCAGTTTTGGCCCCCCAGCTTCACTGTGTGAAGCACCAAAATAAAAAGTACAGAACTGTGCTTATCGGGATGTACGTCGATTGGACAATCGCATGAGTACAGTACGTACAAGAAGTCGCGAAAATTGCCCAATTGGAAAAGATTCCTTTCCATCCCGAACCAGCTACCATTGGTCGTGTGTCAAGCATCTTGCAACTGACTCGTGCGAGCGACTGAACGCAGCCGTGTCAAGTTCAACGTGGGATGGCTGGCCCAAATTTTGGGACACCTGTATCATTGGCTGTTGTGGTGTGCCATGTGCCAAACCAGTCAACGAGGAAACATGAACCGTGCGATTGGTTCGTATCGAGCTAAATAACAGTTTTTCAGGGAAGGGTACCCTAACGAGCCGAGGCTCACACATGAAACTGGGCTCGGAGTTTCGTCTACATCCACCTCACCTTTTGCTACACTCGATGCTCAGCGGTGTCGCGCTAATGTTGTCGTTACTCACTTTTCTAGTCCTCGTTTCCTCTAAACACGGGTAGCAGCACCCGGATTACACTCCCGTTTCTACATCACGATCGTTGATCACACACCTATCGCGCTGTCATCCGGCCATCTGTCACCCGTTGCTACACATAGGCCTTGTAGCCCAGTCACAACCATCGGCCATTTTCAGGTGCATGCAACTTAGCCTAGGAATGCTATTCAGGTGCATGCCAGGTTGCGTACAGTTTTCTCAGGTTAAACAATGTCTCCCGTAAATTCATACGCTTTTCAAGATTCGATTCAAATTGGCACAAAATGTCCGAAATAGATGCAATTTCGGGCTACGCGAAATTGGAATCGGAATGGTTGGCTCTCGATGCTGCATTTTCTGACGTCACTCAGTGCAATGATTGCATTTTGTCCAATTTCTACGCAACTTTCTGCTTCGCACCAACTCTTTTTGAGCGAATATAATTCTAGATCTGTTGTACTGTTGACACAGATGACGGACGCCGCGCATGGCAAATCAGCAAACCCTTCGCGAGTGCTTGTAAATTTTGCCTCTACCAAAATTAATGTTTTGCCGTAAATGTATATTGAAATAGGTGGTATGCCATGGCGTTGATTACGTGTCATTAAATATACATGTAACGTACGATATATCCTTAATAGCGGTAGGGGTAACTCCCTCTAACACTCGGGCATATTTCTCGTGTTTCGGATTACCCTTTCCAAGTAACGCACGTCCCACTAGGGTTTGCTGATTTGACCCGCGAAGCGTCCGCCACCTGCGCCAAAAGTACAGCCGATTCAGCATTACAATTCGTTCAAAAAGAGTTGGTGCGAAGCAAAACTTTGCGTAGAAATTGTGCAGAAATGCAATCATTGCACTGAGTGACGTCAGAAAATGCAGCATCGAGAGCCAACCATTCCGATTCCAATTTTGCGTAGCCCGAAATGGCGCCTATTTCGGACCTTTTGTGCCAATTTGAATCGAATCTTTGAAAAGCGTGTACATTAACGGGAGACATTGTTTAACCTGAGAAAAGTGCACGCAACCTGGCATGCACCTGAGTAGCGTTCCTAGGCTAAGTTGCATGCACCTGAAAATGGCCGCACAACTATCGGATGATGATTTCAGCATTGTATAGTGTAATTTCACCACTGAATAGGAAACTCAAAAAAATGAGCCACATTTGTACCGCCAAATCTCGTACAGACGAAATCATCAAATCAAAACCATCTTTACAAGACGAGGCCCCTTAGAGTACCAAAAACTGTAGCTCGTGTGGGTGGGAAATGGGGTGGAAAGCTCGCACATTGAAGCATTCCTACCCAGCAAGCACAAAGGTGGTGAGTGTACAAAACGATTGTGTGTCTGTTTCCCGGCTTTGAGCGAACTCATCACACTAAATGCCGCTTTCGACAAACTCGCACTCTGTAAGCAATCCCAAGAAAATGCAAGACTCGTCAGCGACAAACACGAGGGGGGAGGGGGAAGAGAAAAGCGGGATTGATCAGCTGAAGTGTGGAACAATCTCGAGAAATTATGGTTCGTAGCCACACATTCAATGAACAGTTCTCCTCCGTCTGACTAGCAAACAGAAACGTCTCCGTTTGATTCTCCGCGAGTGCCATTTTATAGGAGGCGAGGAGCAAAGAGCGCGCGCGAGTAGGCTTCACTTCGAACAAATTCATCCACCATAGCTGTACCTTGTAAGGTGAGTAGATTTTTCTCTAGTAGTAGTTATTGCTGTTGGGACGGTACATGTCCGTCATAATAACATACATGTCCATCGATAGTATCGATGCATTCCTCTCCGAGTTACACCCAACAGCAGTTCTGTGACCTTTTCGGAAAGCATGCGCAGTTATAGGCATTTTCAGTCGGGAGAGAAGAACTTTAGGCTAGTAGCCTAGCCTGTGAACAAACCCTGTTAAGTTGTGATGTCCTGGCTCAACTGTTACAGCAATGTCGACCAACAGATATACTGATTCTGATTGGTAGTAAACCACTTAAAGCACCACGTCGTATCCTGCTGGGTATCCTTGAAGTTACTCCGAAGTAACTTTAGGGAAACGGTTTGGGCCCACGAATTTTGAGACGTTATCGTTCAAACTTTGACCTGCGGTAGTAAGACGGAGTGTTTGAAGCACCCTCTCAGGAGCATGTGTTCGGAGCCACTACTCAGTAAGAGCACCCAGGTAGTACTTTAGAGCACCTAACTGACTCGATCAGAGTCTAATAGGAAAACCCAAGCCGGCAGAATGCGTTCAACTCCCAGACTCCGAAATCCAACGCTTCTTGGAATCTCCAGAGATCTCGGAATTGCGAGGGCTGTTCACCGGCCACTAAAGAGCTATAGACTCGCTCACTGAGCTGTGTATTGCCATGAGCTGAGAGCAGCTAAACGCTGGACTTCTCTCATATAAAAAAATCCTGAAAGATTCTTGGAATCTCCAGGGATCTCTCGAGATTGTTCACAGGCCATTCAAGAAAATTTAAGAAATGCAAAATTGCTCACTCACTGAGAAGTGAGATCCAAACGTCGCGGAAAGTTGGATGGGAACAACTGAGAGGAGCAGCTCCTGCTTCACCCTTTAGATCTGGCATCAGACGTGATCTGGCAGCAGACGTGACCTGGCAGCAGATTTGATCTGGCAGCAGACGTGATCTGGCAGCGGATTTGATCTGACAGCAGACGTGATCTGGCAGCAGGCGTAATCTGCCAGCAGATGTGATGTGGAAGCAAAGCGGATGTGATTTGGCGGCAAATGTGATCTGAGATCGCATGTGGTCTGCTATTATCTGGTAGCAGCTTGTAATTTACCCATCATTTGGCTGCGTTTGTGATCCTCAAAGCAGTAGTAATCTGGAGACTGAAATCTACATTCACCCACCTTTGCTCCATATTCTGCCTTCCCAGTTGAGCCTACGTCCACGGAGCCAGAATAACCGCTGGTAATAGGCAGCAGCAGGCAAGCCTGCACCAGATGCAGCCTCCCCCGGATGGGGGAAGATAACGCACTGGACAGGGAGAGCGGCGGAGTCGGTGTGATCATAACGGCTGAAGAGGGTGCGTTAGAAGGAGCTGGAGTGACTATAACAGGAGCTACATTGGATGGGGCAGGAATTGAAGGCTATCAAACGATTATAGGTAAGTGTCTCTGGCTTCTGATCCCCACCCGTTCAGGTGATCTTTCAGGTGATACTTGAGGTGATCTTTCAGGTGATCCTTCAGGTGATCCTTCAGGTGTCCCCGTCAGATCTTAGCGATCCTTCAGGTGGTCCTTCAGGTGGTTGGCCTCAAGAAGCCTTCTCCTTCTCCTTTCTCTATTTTCCATTCTTCCAGGCCCTAGAATGGCTTACCCAGCCATGTTCTGGCAGCACCAGGAGTATCGACAAGGAGTATCAGGAGAAACATCAGGAGAAACACCAGGAGGAGCAGTGATACCAGCAGTGCCCCCACCAGCGGTGCCTATGCTGCAAACACTGATACAGCCACCAGGAACAGCAGCAGCAGCCGCAGCAGCAGCAGCAGCAGCAGCAGGGGCAGCATCAGCAGCAGGAGCGGCCGGAGCAGCAGCAGCAGGAGCAGCAGGAGCAGCAGCAGGAGCAGCAGGAGCAGCAGCAGCAGGAGCAGGAGGAGGAGCAGGAGCAGGAAGCATGGGACCTCCACCGATCCAGATCTACTCCTATTCCCCCGCTTCCTCCTACGGAACCCTCCCCTCCCTCATTCCCTCTCTCCCTCCCTCGGGCATCATCCCTTCTCCGTACTTTGCCCCAGGCTTCCCCCCTTCTATGGTGTATCCGGGAAATCTCAGCCAAAGCAGCAGCACGGGTAGGTCCATGGGTTATCCGGGAAACCTCAGCCACAGCAGCAGCACGGGGAGTAACGGGAGCAGCTACAGCAGAGGAGGCGGGGAGGGAGGTGGGGGAGGAAGAGCATGGGGGGGAACAGGAGGGGGAGGAGGAGGAGGTAAAGGAGGGGGAGGGGGAGGAGGAGGAGGAGAGCTGCGGAGTAGCAGGAGCTTCAACGAGAGAAGAGGGTTTGAAATGGGAGGCGGAGGAGGAGGAGGAGGTGGTGGTGGTGGTGGTGGCAGTAGCAGTGGTGGTGGTGGTGGTGGGAGTGGAAGGATGAGGCAAGATTGGGATGCTTCAGGGAAGCTTCCGCCAGTGTACCCACAGCGGCCAGGGGAGCAGGAGTGTGCGTATTACATGAGGACGGGCAGCTGTGCGTATGGGTCTAGATGCCGCTTCAACCACCCTCCCAGGGTACTAGAGGTAAGAATGTTGTGAGTTGACTCGGTACACAGTGGTGCATACAGATGGGACTGGGTGGGAGCAGGAGTGTGCGTATCACATGAGGACGGGGAGCTGTGCGTATGGATCCAGATGCCGCTTCAACCACCCTCCCAGACTAGAGGTAAGAGCATTTTGAGTCGACTCACAGGCCAGTGTACCCACAGCGGCCAGGAGAGCAGGAGTGTGCGTACTACATGAGAACAGGGAGCTGTGCGTATGGATCCAGATGCCGCTTCAACCACCCTCCCAGACTGCTAGAGGTGAGAATGTTGTGAGTTGACTCGGTACACAGTGGTGCATACAGATGGGACTGGGTGGGAGCAGGAGTGTGCGTACTACATGAGAACGGGGAGTTGTGCGTATGGATCCAGATGCCACTTCAACCACCCTCCCAAACTTGAGGTAAGATGGTTGTGAGACTACTCAAAGGCAAGCATGTAGCGGCCGGGGGAGCAGGAGTGTGCATATTACATGAGGACGGGGAGCTGTGCGTATGGGTCTAGGTGCCGCTTCAACCACCCTCCCAGGTTGGAGGTAAGAATGGAGCTGGCCGGAAACAGGGGTGTGCGTGCAGGTATCTACCTGCACATTTCATGCCATGCCATTCCATCCCATTACATGCCATCCCATCCTGTCCCGTCCCATCCCATCCCATCCCATCCCATCCCATCCCATCCCATCCCATCCCATCCCATCCCATCCCATCCCATCCCATCCCATCTCATCCCATCTCACCCCATCCCACCCCATCCCACCCCATCCCACCCCATCCCATCTCCTGCCAGGCGATGCAGCCGTTGCTCCCAGCCACGCCCTATCCGCAACGACCGGGGCAACCAGAGTGCAAGGTGAGCCTCCTGCTGCTCTCTCTATTCGTGTGCCATCAATCAATCCATCACATAAGCCATGCAATCAGTGCAACCGCTGCTCCCAGCCACGCCCTATCCGCAACGACCGGGGCAACCAGAGTGCAAGATGAGAATCCTGCTGCTCCTTCCATCCACATACCATCTCCCCTCGTCATACACATTCCCTCTTATCCCTTCCGTCCCCTCCAGTACTATCTCAAGACTGGCACCTGCAAGTATGGACCCTCCTGCACCTTCCACCACCCGCCGCTACTCACCTCAACACCTGCTCACTCTTCCCCTCTTCTTGCAAATCTCCCATTCTCTCTCACTCCCCCCCCCCCCCCCCCCCCCCTCCTTCCCCTCCCAGTACTATCTCAAGACGGGCACTTGCAAGTACGGACCCTCCTGCACCTTCCACCACCCGCCGCTACTCGCCTCAACGCCTGCCGTCTCCTCCCACCTGCCTCTCAACGCGCTCGGCTATCCCCTCAGACCGGTATGCACCGCACTGGTTTGTTTTAGGCGCCTTAAAAAATCCCCCCCCCACCTGCCTCTCAACGCGCTCGGCTACCCCCTCAGACCGGTTCCGCCACCCTACTGGTTTGTTTCTCAGGCGCCTTAAAAATGCCCCCCCCACCTGCCTCTCAACGCGCTCGGCTACCCCCTCAGACCGGTATGTATCACACACACAGGTATCTGCTCACTCGTGTTTTGCTCTACTCGCCTCAACGCCTGCCGTCTCCTCCCACCTGCCTCTCAACACCCTCGGCTACCCCCTCAGGCCGGTATGTATCACACACACAGGTATCTGCTCACTCGTGTTTTGCCCTACTCGCCTCAACGCCTGCCGGATCCTCCCACCTGCCTCTCAACGCGCTCGGCTATCCCCTCAGACCGGTATGTATCACACACACAGGTATCTGCTCACTCGTGTTTTGCCCTACTCGCCTCAACGCCTGCCGGATCCTCCCACCTGCCTCTCAACGCGCTCGGCTATCCCCTCAGACCGGTATGTATCACACACACAGGTATCTGCTCACTCGTGTTTTGCCCTACTCGCCTCAACGCCTGCCGGATCCTCCCACCTGCCTCTCAACGCGCTCGGCTATCCCCTCAGACCGGTATGTATCACACACACAGGTATCTGCTCACTCGTGTTTTGCCCTACTCGCCTCAACGCCTGCCGGATCCTCCCACCTGCCTCTCAACGCGCTCGGCTATCCCCTCAGACCGGTATGTATCACACACACAGGTATCTGCTCACTCGTGTTTTGCCCTACTCGCCTCAACGCCTGCCGGATCCTCCCACCTGCCTCTCAACGCCCTCGGCTATCCCCTCAGACCGGTATGCACCCCACTGGTTTGTTTTAGGCGCCTTAAAAATACCCCCCCCACCTGCCTCTCAACGCGCTCGGCTACCCCCTCAGACCGGTACGTATCATACACACAGGTATCTGCTCACTCGTGTTTTGCCCTACTCGCCTCAACGCCTGCTGTCTCCCCCCACCTGCCTCTCAACGCGCTCGGCTACCCCCTCAGACCGGTGAGCACCACACACACAGGTACTTGTAAGCACGGAGTTACCTGCACCTTCCACCACCCCCTATTCGCCTCAACGCCTGCCGGGTCTACCCACCTGCCTCTCAACGCCCTCGGCTATCCCCTCAGACCGGTATGCACCCCACTGGTTTGTTTTAGGCGCCTTAGAATCCCCCCCCCCCACCTGCCTCTCAACGCGCTCGGCAACCCCCTCAGACCGGTACGTATCACACACACAGGTATCTGCTCACTCGTGTTTTGCCCTACTCGCCTCAACGCCTGCCGGGTCTACCCACCTGCCTCTCAACGCCCTCGGCTACCCCCTCAGACCGGTTCCGCCACCCTAATCTACACTCACACGCTTCTGCTACCTCCTCTCACCTCCGCTACAAAAGTGACTCACTCTAACCTCCTCTCTGCTGCAGGGTGTTTTTGAGAATTCTCAAAAACACCCTGCTGCTCGGCTACCCCCTCAGACCGGTTCCGCCACCCCAATCTACACACGCTTCCGCTACAACAGTGACTCACTCTCACCTCCTCTCTCCACACCCCGGTCCTCTCTTTCCCGCGCAGGGCGAGACAGAATGCGCATTCTTCCTTCGCACAGGGAGGTGCAAGTTCGGAGCAACATGCAAGTTCCACCATCCTGACCTGCACCCGACCCCGCTACACCCGTCCGATTTACACCCCTCCCAGCTACACCCCTCCCAGCTACACCCCTCCCAGCTACATCCCACCCAGCTACATCCGTCTCAACCGCATCTCACCCAGCAGCACCCTTCCCAGTTGCTGCAGGCACCAGTTCCGTCTCCGCAGTTCCAGGGTCCTCTTGGCCAGCAAACGTCGCTGCTACAGCCGTCCCAGCTGCATCCCTCCCAGCAGCATCACTCCTACCAGTATGCCTCCCAGCTACAACCGTCCCAGCTACAGCCGACCCAGCAACAACCGTCCCAGCAGCAGCAGGCGCAGGTGTCACACCCGGGAGGGGCACACGAAGCAGAAGCAGAGGGGGCGGATAAGCAGAAGCAGAGGGGGCAGCCAAGTAGCATTATCCCTGGGAAAGCATTGGGGAAGGAAGGAACCAGCAGCCCTGCTGATGCTGGTGGTGCTGCTGCTGATGCTGCTGCTGATGCTAGTGAAAACCCAGGTGAATGTTCAGGTGAAAGGTCAGGTGGAAGGTCAGGAGAAAATTCAGGTGGAGGTTTAGGTGAAAGCTCAGGTGAAAGCTCAGGTGGAATGGCAGAGGGTTCAGATGCAGCTGTTACCGGCACAAGTAGGGGAGAAGAAGCAGGCACATGTGGGGTGATACGAGTCCACTCGAGCAAGGAGAGCACAGAGAGCGTAGCTAGAGAGTCGAGCAGAGAGACAGTTGGAGATTCTGGGGGGGGTGAAAAGGTCGTGACTGGGCCAGAGGAGGGGGAGGTAGGCGGCGAGGCAAGGCCATCAGAAAGTGGCAGGTCTCAGGGTTCGGGTGCTGACACGTGTCACATGCAGGGGAGCAAGACGCATGGGCAGAAGAAGAAGCGACAGCAGAGGCAGCAGCAGCAGCAGCAGTATCAGCAGCAACAGTACCTGCAGCAGCAGCAGCAGCAGTATCAACAGTATCCTCAGCAGTACCAGCAGCAATATCAGCAGCAGTACCTGCATCAGCAACAGTATCATCAATACATGCAGCTACATTATCAGCCGAATCATTCTCAGCCCCAATCCCAGTCCCAGCCCCAGACCCAGGCCCAGCCCCAATTCCAGCAGCAGCATCAGTACCAACCCATGCAGCAAGGCGGAGGGGGGAGCGGCGGGGGAGGGTGGGGAGGAGGTGGAGGTGGGGGAGGTGGGGGAGGAGGGGGAGGAGGGGGGAGTATAATACCTAGTCCTAGCCCGAACCCCACAGTCAGCATGGGAATCGCCGTGGGCGCGGGAATGGGGGCAGGAAGCATGAATGTGGCAACAAGCAGTCACATGGCCATGGGCATGGGCACCGGCATGGGTCTAGGATATGCACGCGCACCAGAAATGCTCTCCTCCGCATCCCCTGGTCCCCACATGACGACATCAGGCCCTTACATGACGTCAGCAGGCCCCTACATGACGTCAGCAGGCCCTTGCATGACGTCATCATCAGCTTCCAACATGTCGACAGCAAACCCCTACATGACGTCGTCAGGCCCGTACATGACGTCATCATTCCCCTATGCATCCTCAGTTGTTCCCTATCCTGCATACTCCCATCACCCCCAGTACCCTCACCACCACCCTCACTTTCCTCCTCACTATCCTTACTACCCTCACTACTCTTCCACTGATCTCTCTGGAGGTACCTCCTTTGTTCCTTCTCCTGCTGTTCTTCCTCCCTCTTCTCTTCTTCCCTCTGCTCCTGCCACCACCGCTGCCCCTCTTTTCCCACCTCCTTCTTGGCCTGCTGCTGCTCCTCCTGCTCCCCCTACTGCTACTGCTCCTGCTCCTGCTGTTCTTCCTCCCTCTTCTCTTCCCCCTGCTGCTCCTACCGCTGCTCCTCCTCTTGCTGTTCCAATTGCTCCTCTTGTTGCTCCTCCTGCTGCTCCTCATCTTGCTGCTCCTTACGCTCCTCCTCTTCATGCTCCTCTTACTGCTGCTACTGCCTCTGCTCATCTCTTCTCTCTAGTGGCCCCCCAGTCCTTCCTTCCACCACCACCATCAGAAACACCACCAGCAGCGCCAGCAGCAGTAGCAGCAGCAGCAGCGCCAGCAGCAGCAGCAGTAGCAGTAGCAGCAGCAGCAGCAGCGGAACCTGGTACCGCTGCTGCTCCTTTCCCGCTGAATCCGGCTTCGGCTGGTGAAGGTGCTTCAGGTGAAGGTGCTTCTGGTATAGTTGCTTCCGATGTCGGTGCTTCTGCTTTAGGTACTTCTGCTTTAGGTGCTTCTGGTGAAGGTGCTTCTGGTGTAGGTGCTTCTGGTGTGGGTGGTATTGTGACAGTTGGCGAAGGTGCTTCTGGTGTGGTTGCTAGTAGTACAGGTGCTTCTGCTGTACATGCTTCTACTCAGCCTCTGCAGCCGTGTCAGCAGCAATATCCACACCAACAGCAGCAGCAGCAGCAGAAGCAGCAGCAGCAGCAGCAGCAGCAGCAGCAGCAGAAGCAGGCACAGCAGGACGCACGGCAGGCCTTGCCGAGCCTACCAGAGAGGCTCGGGCAACCGGTCTGCCAATACTACATGCGGACCGGGACGTGCAGGTTCGGAGGATCATGCCGGTACCACCATCCAAAGAAAACACCTACCCCTGATCAGCACCAAAGCTAGACATACCCGCCGAGACCCCAAGAGTTATGGACAGGGTTCGTCGATATGGTAAGAGCGGTCCCAGGCGTGCAGGTTCGGAGGATAATGCAGGTACGGTACCAGTCCCATCAGAAGTGAGGGCCGTTTCTTGTCGATCAACACCCAAGGCATGCACATCACAGGGATGTGCGGATGAAGTCAAGAACTACGGTAGATATGCAAGTTGTGCTAGCAATTAGAGGGCTTTTTTTAGTGTCGGGATTAGCGGGTTAACTTGCCTGCTTGCGTTAGGAGGATTTGATACTATGAGACGAGACTCTGTTAGTGAAATAGTGAGTGGAACTTGGGAAGTGCTGGGTTAAATGTTTGTTGGGAGGGGATGAAAGAGGGGGAAAAGGGGATGGAGGGACTGGAGTGAGGGCAGTCGGCCCCACTGATGGAGTTTGCTGTGTCCGACATGGCGCTTCTCGCTCCTGTCTCGTCCACCACTTACTACCACTCGCCACCGTCACGCTGGAGAATTGGGCGGAAGGGAGAGGGGGAAACAGAAGGACGGTAGTGGGGGAATGGAAGGAATGGGTGTGTGATACGGCGGGAGCGGAGGGGAGTACGCTCAAAACGATTCGAGTGCAAAGTCAGGCAAAGCTGCTCGCAAGGTGCAAAGCACTAATGTTAGAGCGCAAAGATTGTTGCGATCAGAAGTTGATCACCCTCAGGATCACCTCAGGAAGGTTCGCAGAGTCCTAGTCTAGTGGTGGTGGGCCCTTGACCTCAATAGCAGAGTGAATGTAAATGCTTGAGATAATAAAAACATGCAGTACAAGGAATATAAACAAGATTACAAGGGGATACCAATCGACCTAGCTAGCCATGTACTCTAAGGGGTACATTCCCTTATTGCAGCGAAATCCAACCGTGCGACTCCAGACAGTTACGAAACTGTTCCGGCAGAATCCTCGCCACTGCTGCTGCCTGATGCTGTCTGCCCGGCGGTCCAGATCCTTTCGTAACCGTGTGACTCTTCGTGTCACCTCCGCCTGTCCGTCTTCGTTCTCGGTAGAGCGTGCTTCGATTGCTGCGGTGAGGAGTGTGTATTAGTGTTTCAGCAATCACTATTCGTAACACCCCCCTTCACTCCTGGCCGTAGCGAGTCTTGACCCGCTTGACTACCCCGCTGAGTTCGGAGCAGTGCTGGTACTGCTGACGTGATAGCTTCTTCGTGAGGAAGTCAGCTGCCATGTCGCCCGTCGGGCAGTAGGTTAGGTCAACCTTGCCCTTGTCAACTTCGTCCTTGACGAAGAAGTACCGCAGCGCGATGTGTTTGGTCCGATTGACGAATCCCGGCTTGTTCGCGATCCTGATCGCGCTCTGGTTGTCGCAGTGAAGGCGAAAATTCGTCGAGGCTGGAATTTTCGCCTCCTGTAGCAGCTCCTGAAGGTAGAGGCCTTCGCGAACAGCTGCTGTTGCTGCGATGAATTCAGCCTCCGCTGATGACAGGGCAACCAGCTCCTGTTTCTGTGAATTCCAGGAGATGGGGCCGCTGGGCTCGAGACGGAAAAGGAAGCCTGTCCTGGACCGTCGATTATCGGGGTCAGCGGCGTGATCGGCGTCCACGTAGCCGATGAGGTTGAAGGATGAAGTTGGAATGGTTGAGTAGCAAAGCCCGATGCTGGGCGTGGAGATGAAGAACTGAAGCGCCCGCTGAAGATCTAGCAGATTCTCAGCCGTTGGTTTGCGAGAGTACTGAGCCAACTGGCTCGCGATGTAGGAAAGGTCGGGCCTGCAGGTAACAGATGCAAAGAGCAGGCATCCCAACTGTTGCTGGTAAGTGTGAAGCCCAGCAGGGGACAGGGCTTTGTTGTCAGGCTTGTGGTTGGGTCCTGGGGTGCGGTAAGGGGTGGAGAGTGGTGCAGGCGCAATGTTGAAGCGCTTGCTAAGCTCCTTTGCATACTTCGCTGCTGAGAGATGAATGGCTTCCGGCGAGTAAGTGATGTTGAGCCCGAGAAACTGCTTCACGTCATGATTGCAGGTGATGTCGACGCGCCCTGCGAGGTTTTTCTCGAATTGCTCGAGCAGCTCGTTGCTTGACCCTGTGTAGAGGAGGTCGTCGACGTAGACCGTGAGTAGAATGTATTCGTCGCAGAAATCGCGGCGATACATCCCAGGATCGTGAGGCAGCTGCTTGAACCCGATTTCAAGCAGTATGTTGTGCAGGTACTGCTGCCAGAGTCTCGGCGCCTGTTTAATCCCGTAAAGGGACTTCCGCAGCTGGCAGACCCGCGAATCTCCTTCGCCGTATGTGTGCGGCTGCTCCACGTAGATCACTGCGTCTACGAGCGCGTACAGGAATGCGTTCTTGACATCGATCTGCCGGAGCGGCAGATGTCGTGCGGCTGCGATGGCGAGGAGTATCCTGACGGAGGTGTGGCGGCTCACCGGTGCAAACGTTTGATCGAAGTCGATCCCGTGCCTCTGGTCGTAGCCGCGTACTACCCAGCGCGCTTTGAAGCGCTCGATCGTACCGTCAGCTCCGGTCTCCCCTTCACTGCTGCACGGTCGACGAGTACCCAGGTGTCGCGTGACTCGAGTGCCCTGATCTCCGCATCCATTGCCTCGCGCCATTCCTTGCTGTGAGGTCCCGTGAGTGCTTGCCGTGGGTTCTTAGACTCGATGACACGTGGCGCCGTTGAGATGGCAGCATGGAGCCTGAGGAGTTGCATTCCGGTGACGGTGCTGTCGTGGCGATGCTGCGGGATGACCTCCTGCACATCGTCGTCGTCGCTTTCTGGTTCTGGTGGGGCTGGTGGTGCTGCTCCTGCGCCGTTTCCGCTTCCGCTTCCTGTTGCGCCTCCTGCTGCGCCCGCTCCTCCTTCTCCTGAATCATCGTCGTCGTCGTCGTGTCGATCGCCTCTCGTGAACTCGCCTCTGGGGTCCTGCTCCAGAATTGCTGCTGCGGCTTCGTCCTCAGGTGAGGCGTAGCTGTGGCCGTCGTTGGCGTAGCCGCGGTTCGCGTTCGTCTGCTCGTCTTCGCGGAATTGCTGGAGGAAGAGGCGCTCGTAGAAGATGACGTCGCGTGCGTTCTTGATTTTCTGGCTCAGGAGATCCAGATTGATCCACGCCTTGTACTCGTGGCTGATCCCGAGGTGGATCCCCCAGCGCGCGCGGCTTTTGAACTTGCCGATGGTTGATGTTGGCGGGCGGTACTGGACCATGCATCCCCACACGCGGAGCATGGATGTGTCGCCCTTCCTCCCCGTCCACTTCATGTGCGGTGAGGAGTTGCCGGTGATTGCGGTGGTTGACAGCAGGTTGTGCACCCGTACGGCGTGGTGCATTGCATAGGTCCAGTAGATCGGCGGAAGCTTCGACTGCTTCATTAGCGCCCGCACCTTCGTCATGAGGGTGCGATTCGTGCGCTCTGCTACGCCCTGCTGCTGGTGTGCATAGGGGAGGGAAATGTGATGCTCAATCCCCTTTTGCGTGAGGTAATCCTGCAGCTCCTTGCTCCTGAACTCCGCCGCGCCGTCGGACTGCCAGATCTTCAATTTCTCCCCGGATTGCCGATGCGCATGCGCCAGCCACAGGCGGAATGCTTCGTATGCTCTGCTG